CTCCAGGATTTATACTATGCTGGGCATAATTCCTATTTTCACAGGTAGGGTGTCTTTTGCCCCCTTAACCCAAAAAGGATCATTTCCAAATTATGCCCAGCAATAGAAAATTTACTGGTTTAAAAAAGCGTTCAAAATTGGCCTTTTTGCCTCCAGAAGCTTTCATTTGCTGGGCATAATTCCTAATTTTACAGGGAAGGTGTCTTTTGAACCCCTCAACCCAAAACGGACCATTTCCGAATTATGCCCAGCAATAGAAAGTTTCCAGGTTCAAAAAAGCGTTCAAAATTGGCCATTTCGACTCCCGAATCTTCTCTATGCTGGGCATAATTCCTATTTTCACAGGTAGGGTGTCTTTTGACCCCCCTTACCCAAAACGGACCATTTCCGCATTATGCCCAACAATAGAAAGTTGCCTAAATTTAAAAAAGCGTTCAAAATTGGCCTTTTCGCCTCCAGAATCTTCCCTATTCTGGGCATAATTCCTCTTCACAAAGAAGGTGTCTTTTGACCCCCTTTTAACCCCAAAACGGACCATTTTCGAACTATGCCCAGCACTAGAACGTTTCCTGGTTCTAAAAAGCGTTCAAAATTAGCCATTTCGCCTCCAGGATCTTTCCTATGCTGGGCATAATTCCTATTTTCACAGGGAGGGTGTCTTTTGACCCCCTTAACCCAAAAGTGACCATTTCAAAATTATGCCTAGCAAAAGAAGGTTTCCTGGTTCTAAAAAGCGTTCCAAATGGGCCTTTTTGCCTCCAGAATCTTTCCTATGCTGGGCATAATTCCTATTTTCACAGGGAGGGTGTGACCCCCTTAACCCAAAACGGACCATTTTAAGAGCGCGGCGGCGAATTGTGCAGTTCCGAAACGCGCGGCAGAACAGCGTGCGTTTTAGTTAGAGGTGTTGAATTGAAAACTCTGATCAAAAATGTTGAAGAACGACATGTTTATTAATCCAGTTTAAATCTTCTCCTTGATGAGCCGGAGCAGCTCTTGGTGCCCATCCTTGTTTAGATGGAGCAAGTCGGGGGTGCCATCCTGCTTTTCCCTGGTTAAGAAAAAGAAACTAAAACGTGCCTTGAGACATATTTATTCTCCTCTTAGGGCCCATTTACGATCGGTCGCGGAATCTTAAATTAAATTGACCAACTCGTGATGGCTTATGGGAGTATCTTAAATGCCAGTCCCTTAAATGAAATTCATTTCTTGTCGAAATACGGCTCACGCTTAAATGAAATTCGGATTTCGGGCGCGAAGTTTCGAAACAGCCAATCAGAGGCCAAGAGGAGACTAAACAAAGATGGTGCCGACGACAAGTAACAAACGATGCTGCCATGGCGGGGACTAAAATTTTATTTAAGCTAAGAACCATCGTAAATGGGAGGTCCCATTTTACCCCAGAAATTAATAAATTTCTGCAGAAAATGCAATTTTATTTAAGACACCCCGGACGATCGTAAATGAGCCCTTATACTGTTTATACGCAAAATAGTATGTGTTTGCTAAAACAGTGCCTTTGTAAATTTAGCTAACCGTTTGCTGTTCCAGCAAAATAATGTTTGCTGGAACAGTATAGATTAAGCTGGAACAGGACAGATTCAGCTGGAACAGGAAACAGTTTTCTTTATTTACAAAGGCCCACTTCTTGTTTAATAAACAGACTGTTTTATGTGTAGTTTTAGGAGGTTGCAACAATAATTCAATATATTACGGTAAAACACTTTTCTAGCACATGACAGTGGTTTACAACTGCAAGCAAAGCAAAGCTTACCATTATCCTAAATGACTTGGAGGATCACTGTCCTCTGTTACAGGTCTCAAGCTCTCATGCGTGCAGTCATGCAATCAAAAGCAAAAGCAAAAGCAAAGTGTTTAAAGCATAACTATCGGTGAGGTAATGGTCCAATGATGGAACATAATCGTCATGTAATCACACGCTCTCATTTCAATACGAACACCTTACCATTATCCTAGATGCCTTGGAGGATCACTGTCCTCTGTTACAGGTTTCAAGCTCTCATGCGTGCAGTCATGCAATCAAAAGCAAAAGCAAAGCGTTTAAAGCATAACTATCGGTGAGGTAATGGTAATTTACTATTGCGTTGTCGGAGGTTTTCAAGATTAAAGTAGCAAAATTCCGACACTTGTATGGGAAAATTTATTCCTAAACACTCGTAGGCATTTTGCTACAAAAGTGTGAGATTTTTTTAACGTATCGGTTTTTCCCTATACACTATTTCGTGTATAGGACAAATCCTACACATGTGTAGGAAATTTCGCGTCCCACACGCGTATGGGATTTTTCCTACACGCTTGCATGGCAAAAATCCGAATTTTTTTTACAGTGTCTGCCTCAGAGTTGTGCCCACGAGCCAGATTCTGGTTCGCGCTGCCTCGCGCAGTTTTGTGAGAGCCAGAATCTGGCTCGCGCGAGCCTGGCACCTTCGGCAATCTACGGGCCCCTTGCAGAGTTGTGCGATCTCGAAGGGACCCGAAGATTGCAT